CCCCGCGTAGAGCTTCGTACGCCCGGCGTACGTGCGAGGTTTAGCCCCTATAAAAGGGCATGCGAGGCTGCCGAGTTCTTTTGCTCAATTCTTCTCATTCCCGTGCTTTTGCTCTTCGTTTAACCCCTCGAAGCCATCCCGAAGCCTCGGTTTTCATATCCAAGTTCCGAAGGAAGTTTTACGCTCCCGAGATTCCCGAGAATCCCAAGAAATCAGCTTTCTCCAATCGAAGTTCTGATCGATTTTTGTCTCACCTTCTTAAAGCTACCAAGTGAGTTCATACCCCTATCACTACATTTTTAAATACCTTTTTAAATGCTTTTAAAGGGGGGAATACAAGCAATCACACAGTTAAACTCGCGTGAAAAACATCAATCTTTTTGCTGTACTTATCTTACTATTGTTTTAACTATTATATGAAGTTGTTAACATATAAAACATCACACATCACAATTTTACCCTCATGGGATACAGTATGTTATATATATACAAATATGTTTCATTTATATATCTACATACTACATCATACCAAGGGTAACCATTTCAACTATAATATTATGTTTATACAAGAAAATACAACTCATTATTATGCCTTTGTTAACACTGTAGAAAGGGTAATCTTTTTCATAAATCATTCATATATATTTCAAAATACGTGACTTAATTGAGAATATGTGAGTCAATTGTCTTCACCATACCTGTCAAGGTACCGCTAGAAAGCCCTGTTTTATAACCAGAGTCTCTGTTGTGAGAACGTGATACGTGTGTATAGATCTATACGGGACTGATGATCCCGCGCCCTGACTGTTAACTACAGTCCGCGGGGTGACAAATATCATATCGCTTTGACGCCTGAAGAACGTCGCCGCAGGCAAATCCATCATAGTACGGTTATGAAAACTCACAGGATAGACAATTATTATGGTATTTATGTTTTTGCGGGAAAAGTAATATTACAATTATCTTTACGCGAAATTACAAACTTCTTATAGTTTTGTTTACTAATAAAACTATGCATCATTATTTTAAGTATGACATATTTACTTACAAAATCATAGTCTTGGACATTTGAGACTACTCTCCACTATTAGGAAAATATAGGTTTTTCCTGATTCAATACATTCATATTATACAAACAAAGATTCATAACTCCTTTTATGAGAAAATATCGGATTTTCTGGAAAACAAACACGAAGCTTTCGAATGGCATACATTTATACAAATATATACTTATGAACTCACCAACTTAAATGTTGACACTTTTTCTTTGAAATAACTTGTATTCTCAGGAAATCGCTAAGCCAGGTAGCAACTACTTTTGAAGACTAACGCGCTGGCGTTAGTAACATATTTTGGATCACCATATTGAATTTGATATTTAAACATGCAACACTTTCAATCATGTAAACTTTTCAAATATATATGTTATGGTGGTGTGTACTTTCTTTACTATTCAATTGCTATGATACTGAATATGACGTCCTCCGCCCCCGAACGTTTCCGCCGTTCAGGTTTGGGGGTGTGACAACTTCTGTTATGGATGATGAACCTTGAACCTATGTGTTGATTTCATGCTTTTATGACAATTTTATTTGGTTTTTCTTGTGTTTGATGAATTGTAATCCTAGCATGTTAAAGGTTTAGTCTTTATTACCTTTCATTCAAGTTATGTGTAGTAGATGATCATTCTAGTTGCATTAATTTTATTTCTAGTCGTTTATGATCATTAAATAATTAGATCTTATGATTGAACAAATCATAGAGTTAGGCAAATAAAGTTAAAAACTTTGGTTGTGTTAGAGAGCATTAATTATCCATATTAGGTGCTTGAATTGCTATCGTGATCATATATTAGTAGTTCCTAGTTTTATCATTCATAGTCCAATTTATCTTTATATCAGTTTTGCGTTCAACTTGTGCTTGATCATTGCATAGTAGTTCATAAATTGAGAAACACTAAAATTCTAAACCATAGTAACTAGTGTTAATTAATTAGAAGCCAATATAAATTGTCTAGTAGAAATCAACCATATGGGAAAGGGAATTCAGAACTAACAGGAGTACTCTTTAATAATTGAAGTAAAAACCGTTTTCTTTGTTTGTTTAGTCGTTATTTGTTTAATTTAAGTTAGCTGAACTTGCAAAATCAGTAAACCCCACCCCCCTCCTCAATTTACTTGTTTTATTTAGTTAATTATTAGTAGTTATTTTATTAATTAGATTTATGTTCCCTGTGATTGACACCCGACTTACCCAACTATACTATAATCCGACTAGGTACACTGCCTATAGGAGCATTAGTTCGTTAAGTTAGTTAGGTTTATAAATTTAAAAGTTGATAGGTATATTCTTGCTCATCACAACCTAGAAAATATGTCATCGACCGCCGTTTATATTTAACGATAGAATGTGACAATGTAATAAGGGCAAGCTTGTAACAATGCAATATATTTTAATATATTTGAATTTTTCGTCCTTATTTACGTCAACCGTTATGCTCAAAAATTAGTGCTCAAAAAATCGAGTCACTTTGAGATCAGGTTAGCATATTTAGACTCTTTAAGCCACAACGATTCCAGAAATATAAATTTCGCAGGAATCCAAGTCAGTATGGATGAGATTTGACCTTTATAGTAAATAAATATCTACCGTACTTAAAAAGTTACAACAACAAAAACTACAAAGAGAATGTTCGACTTTTGGAAAAGTCATCAACTAGGCAATCGTAGTACTACATAATGTATGAATTATGAAACACGGAAACGCCAAAAATGGAATTCGTATAAGAGATTTATGATTTTCATAAAATGATAACGGTAAAAGGAAAGTTGTAGAGGAAGACGAGACCTATACGAATATATAAAAGTCGTTTAAAATGGAGTTCGTATGCGAGCGCTATGGAATTTCAAAGTTGGATTTTTACCACGCAATGCGCCGTGCGCATTCTGACAGTCAATCCGCCTGGATACGGGCTGACGTGGCATAAGGACATGACGATATGTGGCCGCCCCCTGTGGCTCAAGCACAAAAGAGCGGCGCGCAATCCAAAACCTATTATAAATAGCAAGCTTCGGTAGATCATTTCCCTCACCCCTCACACTCGTTCTCTCTCTATATCGATCCTCGTGCCACTGCCCTGAGCACCACTCGAAGTGATGACTTTTGGTTTCTATGCTACATCAATGTTTTCATAACTCATAGGTGGGTTCACAACCCCATTTTCAAAATCTATTAGGGGGGGGAGGGGAATACATGTTAAAATGCAACTATACATAGTTATTACTAATTGTAGTTAGATAATTATGCTCTTAACATTAGGATAATATTTTTCCTGGTAGATACTCTGTCCAAAGTTTTAGCTAATATTAGGCATAGTTGTTATACCTAATCACAATGATAGATAAAGATCATACCTAGTTGTTATATTGTCCAGTTGCCAAGAAACGCTGATACTCTAGTCATTATTATCGCCACCCTTTGGATAAGCTTAGTACCTAGTGTTACTCTGCCCAAATATTCGGCTACGGAAAACACGCTAATTATATATACGTATCAGATAACTAATATTTATAAAAAGTAAACATGTATGAATACAACAAAAATAACAACACCACAGACCAAGGGAGCCCCTCACAACAAGCGTTAGATAAGACACGATTCATCAACACGCTGAAAGATTTTTAGCTAGCTCTCGGCCTATAATCATAAATTCTTAAGTGAGCAGGAGAGATATATATAGATCTATATGGGATTGACACACCCATATGTGGTTACTAGCTACAACTTGACGGCAAGTCGAAGCAGGCATAACTTTCTAAACATATTTGCGACGTCTGATGAAGCGTCATAGTTTTCGGGATCAACAGTCATAGCTCTATTATAGGAACTCATCATAACTTTGTTAAACTAAAACTAAATATCTTAGACTACTACTAGGAAGCAGCCTAAGAAAGTAGTGATAGTACACTTAAACTCGAGGAACTGATTTTAGGATAAACAAGATAACTAAAATACCCACACAACATTTTATAAAAATAAAACTTATGGACTCACCAACATTATGTTGACCTCTCAAAACCACATATATTTTCAGGAGAATGAACCCGATTGAAGGAGGAGGTAACCCTGATGATGTAGCCCAGAGTCTATGTGCTTTACTTTTGTACTTTGCTTTTGTGACCTACCTGTACCTTGAAAAGTTGTGTAACATATTTTATTTAATGAATAAATAGCCATGTTTTTTCATATATCTAGGTCTACACTCTAATTAGGTTTAACCCTTTAAGCCTAATAAAAAGTATTAATATTAATTACCCTACTTCTTGACTACTTATAGGAGAGGTAACTAGTTTGAACTATCGCTTGGGTTGCAGGATTTCAGAACGACTATATGCTAAAATGGTCCTACCCTCTGGTACTTCTCATCTGGCTGATCCTTACTTGATATTCTTGGAGTGCAAAACACTAAAAATAAATAAAATATACAAAACCCAAGATCAAAAAGATATAGAACGATATAGATATGCTCATATGAGTATACCTACTACCCACCAACACGAACCCATGAAGTCACAACTCGGGATTTTAGGACAAAAACCATGTTTAGATTTGGTATAGTGTAACGTACCACAACTAGACCTAGAATGCACAACTAAGTTTTATTGTGGTCCGACTGACACACAACCGAACTCGGATATGGCGGTTGGCAATCTAAAAGCTAGATAACTTCTGGATTGGATGCATAGACAAGGATTCTATACTCAAAATCGTCTTTTAGAGACTTCTACATCTGAGGATTTCTAGCTTAACGATGTCTACACTCGAGGACTTTCTGTAATAAGAACCACTATCCGTGACTTTCGACATTGTAGGGATACTTAGGAGTTATGGGTACTATCTATTACATACTTATAATTGTGTATTATATATTATTTAATTGATCTTCACATCACTCATAAACAGCTTTCCTGTTTAATTTTTATGCAGGTTTTCCCGTGAGGATGGCAGGCGTTGGATCGTGGAGTGCATCTTCCTTGTTAGAGGAGGAGCATGTAGTACTTGGTGCTTCAAACCCTATCGACACCGCGATGATGATCATGACTTCTGGGGAGGAGTCTACAGATTACGTTGATGACACTGAGCCCGATTATACTCTAGTTGAGCAACCGTCCGAGCCAGCCCATTCACCAGACTACACATCGGCTGAACTTGAGCTTCTCAGTTCCGAGTATAATTCAGACGAGGACGATGACACTGCCTCCTCACCGGTTATTTCACCAACCCGCACCACTCCTTCACATCGATCTTCCAGAGCACACACTGGTACTCGGGTGAAACAAACCCCGAGGACGACTACTGTTATTCCCTCTCGGAAGAAAGCGACATGCCCACCAACATCACCACCGCCAGCAAAGAAACCATGTGGAGACGCCACTTGGATGCCTCAGATACGAGCTTGGATGCAGGAGGAGGATATCGACTCACTTTTCGAGGTATGGGAGTCCGCTTCTACACCTCCCGTACCCCGTACACTCCGGTTGAGCAGGTTGTCTCCCTCCTCGTACCATGTACCACCCATCACTCAGATCGCATAGGAGCGATGGACTCCGAGCTCTTTCTATTGAGGATGGCCATGAGGCAGCTCACAGAGCAGGTACAATATTTTGAAGAGGAGAGGGATGTGATGGATATGAGGACCCTACTCATTCGGTATCAGTTACAGGAGGCAAGGGATGAAGCCCAGTTTCATCATCAGGTGTTGGAGGAGGTGATGAGTCACACAGAAAGATTGGAGCTCCAGGTGGAGAGGACGGAGTCACGGGTTTCTTTTTTTGATGTTTGGATTGAGTATGTCTATAGACAGTTGGTTCAGTTGATGTCTCTCTTCATAGTGTATTATGGATTCTAGTTTCCTTTCTGTACCCTAGCACGATGGCTAGGAGGGATACATATATTTTTTTGGGTTAGAGTACTAGAAAAGCTCATACACATTTGTTTGTAACCTCAAAGCTTTTCTTACTCTAACCACCCCCTTGTTTTGGTGGCTTCTATATGATATATAATGTATAGTATACTTACATGGTCGCATGAAATAGGTGTTGTTGTGGCATTACTATTTCCATTTACACTAATACTAACACACCACGACATAACCATGAGGGTACAAACTTACTAATTCCAACCAATTAACTCACGTCTCGACACTAGCTTTAGAAATCCAGATATGGTACCCCCCGAAGAATTACCAGATCTAGCCAAGGTCTTCAAGCTGAACAAGATGCCCAGTCTGCTCAGAGTAACCCACTTCTAGACCACATGACTATTGAGGCAATGGTCGAGCAAAGGATAGTTGATGCTCTAGCCACACATGGAAATAACCGCCACACAAACTCTAGGACGGGATCGGGAGGTGAAAGCTCCCGAGGAAACAATAAAAGTGTTGCAAGAGTATGCACCTACAAGGACTTATGAATTGCAAGCCTAAGATGTTCTATGAGAACGAAGGAGTTGTAGGCCTCACGAGATGGATCGAGAAGAGAGAGTCTATCTTAAAGATCAAATCTTGTGCTGAGGAAAGCAAGGTTAAGTTCGTCGCTTGCACTTTTATGGATGTAGTCATGTCTTGTTGGAATAGCCACATCAAATACCTAGGCCTCGCCAACGCTAATGCTTTATCTTAGGAACAACTGAAGCAAATGCTCATCGAGGAGTATTTCCCTTGAGAAGAAATGCAACAATTTAAGCAAGGGTTATGGAACTTGTGTAATTTCCTTTTTTCCTCAAAGTATTAAGGAATTGAAAAAATGGTCCTTACGCCATGCGTACTTGGAGTGTACGCATGACGTAAGCCCTTAAGGTTGGACGCGGATAATTGTAAGTACGTAGGGCATACTCGTCAGACGAGCAACCCCAAATTTTAAGGGTTTGAGCCCTATATAATTTCATTATCTTGCTTTAGACCCTCCCACCTTCAGCCTCCATTCTCCCATTCGACTCCTTGCAAACCCTAACCATCATTTGTGAAATATTAAGCTCATTTTGGTGTTCGGTGTTCATCTTTGAAGGAAGAAAGTGATTGGAAAGCTAGTGAGAAGTTTCAAGCCTTGTGGATATGAGTTTTTCACCTTTCAAGCAACCTCCAGAAGGTATAAAGTTTTGAACTTGTTGAATGTTTCATTAGATCTTGCTATTTTTTAAGTGTTTGTAGTCATCAAATTGTGATCTTGGTTCCTTTCTCCTATCCATGCAAGAGTTATGAAGCTTGGATTTTGAGTAGTAAGTTAGAGTTTGAATTTTGTAGTACTTATAGTCATGAAAAGTCATAAAGTTGGAAACTTTATGATTTGGGAGGTTATTTGGGACAAGATATGAGTTCTGGACATGAGGTATTAATGGAATAAGCATTTATTGAGGATAGTGAGAGTTGATTTATGGTTTCAGGTACTTCAGAGGACAGGGGAAAAGTGAAGGCTTTATCATGCACATCATCCTGGATTTTATGTGTTTTTATGATTTTGGGATACTATAATTCATGATAGTGACTTTTGAGATCTTGTTTTGTAAAACTTATGGATTTTTGGATGTTTTCAAAATGAAAGTTTTGCCTTGATTTTTGGGATGTTACAACTTGACAATGAGCGATGCCAACATCTTTGTTGAATATAGTGTCTAAGTCCATAACTTTATTTGGTATGTACTTGATCCGACCCGGCATGGTCCATTTGGGTTGCATGGCATTGCAATACTTGGATAGACTAAATGAGAGAATAAGGCACTTATGATTATTAATATATTATAAGTTCTAATATATTAATAATAGTATTATTTAATTAGTATTGATCAAGTATTAATCTAGTATTAATTTGGTGATCAAAGTGAGACTAATTAAATATATAGGGTTGATTATGACAATCATCAATTCTTTTATGGTGGATTAATGATCCATGGTTTATGGGTTTGGTTATAACCATATGGAGCTCCATGGATAGTCCATGGGAGTTACAAACCCATGGGTCATGAGAAATCAAGAGTCATGACAATTAAGGGCATTCATGTGTAAACCCTAATTGTGACAACACTATAAAAGGAACCCTATGGCTAGCAAAAAGATGACCTAGTGGACATAGTGTTACTAGAGAGGGCATAACCGATTTTGAGTGCTAGAAGTATTCTCTCAAGTTATTCCAAGTCTTGTGGTGTTGTGTGAAGCATTTGAGGCACAACATTTGGGGTGCTAGGCTCACAAAGTCTTGAAAGAATCCAAGCAACAACAAGCTATGTATTTCTACTAGTTTTTATGTTTTATGTAATCCCCATGCCATGCTAGTTAGGAAATAACCTTGAAAAAGAAATTTGCATGTATATAGAGAAAACATAGATTCAAGGTTATTAGGGTTGCATGTACACTTAGGAAGTGTTAGAATGCTCAAAACCCATCAGTGGTATCAGAGCCTAGGATTGTTTTCTGTATACTTGATGCAAAACTGCTTAAAAATCGAAAATTCTGCACTCTGACGACTGAACTCGCCGAGTCCATGGGGAGGACTCGCCGAGTAGAATAATGCACTCGGCGAGTAGGAGCGTGCTGGGCAGTTTTTTCGAGTTTTGTTGCTGGAAATGGATTAAGATCATTATCCCAATCTGTTTTGGACTTGTAAAATCTGTTTTTCAAAATGATAATGATTATGTTAACCCATTTTACATGGCTTTTATCAATTTTCAAGTATTGTATATAGTTATATGATTTCTTGAAATTGCTTGACATGAATTTGTGTTCTTATGAGTTTTTAGAAGATCATAGGAATTATATGTAACCTCCATGTGTGTTTAATTCATGATCTTAATGGCTATGATGGTGTCCATAACTTGTCCTCAAGTTATGGATAACCAAAAGTCACTTCTTTTAGTTATGATTAAAGAACTAAAGAGGTTTCATAAAATGAAGAGTCTTCATTTTTATGAATCATTAAAACTCATAAGTTACAAATTGAAGAGACTTGGAATAGTTTCAATTCTTGCCCTCAAGTTTTGGAATTTGAAAAGTCTTACACTCTAATACTTTAATTCCAAATTAAACCTTAGATTTTTAAAAAGTTTAAAAATCAACACTTATACTATTATTATAATTTTATTATATAGATATGTATAAGAATATGTCATTCTTACCGTTAGTAGGCCTCATTCACGAAGCCGGTCTATAAGGGGGGTATAAGGTTGTTGCCTATAAAATGGTGACTTAATGGGTGTCCACTCTCACCCACCGCTTCCTTGATCGGTGGAGGGTCGTTAGCCGAACGGGTAGGATACGACTTTAAATACTCGTTAAAAGTATAATGAATTATAAAGTAACTATACATTATAAATTCCCAATCTTAGTTACTTTAGGAAAATGTGAAATTGGTGCTAGCCCATAAAATTACACTTTGTACCTTACCAAGTCGTTAGTGGAGCGTGTGTGGTTAACCGACACACTAACATGGACTAGTAAGTGTGGCAAAGGGTGACTTGACCTTATTATAGATCGGTGGAGCGTGTGTGGTTAACCGGCACATCGATTAGGTAATATTGTTGAGGGTACCAAGTCAATTTGTATGGTTATTCACACCTTGTTTGTGATCCTCGGCATCCCAGTCACAAACTTGAGAGGGCACAATCGAGATTCAAACATGCCATTGAAAAGTTCAATGTATCTCAAAAGATCTAGGAGTTTCAAAACCAATAAAACCTAATAATAAAATATTTCGTTCTTATGGTGGAAATTGGTAAATCGTCATTTACCTACCTTCAAATATTTTATAGTATGGATTACGGCATCCCTCTTCCAACTATAAATAGTTTGTTGGATCCTAGCCTTAATATTTCATTTGGGTGAATTATTAAGGATTCCTAATCTAATGAAACTTGTCTTTCTTTCCTTTCAGATGTCTTCCAACAATGCTTCTGGCTCAAACCCAACAGGCTCCTTTTCCCTTATGAACTTGTGTGGTAAGGTCATCTTTGATGGATCCAATTTCAATGAGTGGATCAGAAACATCAGAATGAATACCCGCTATGAGGACAAAGAATATGTCCTCGATAGGGAGCTTAAGGTTGTGAGTGAAGCCACTGCTACTCCTGAAGAGTTTGCGGAGTTTGTTGCACATGAAAAGGATGCTACTAAAGTAGCATGCATCATGATGGCCACCATGACTCCTGAACTTCAAAAATCCTATGAAGATTTCTACCCCTATGAGATGCACCTGGATCTGATGGAAAGGTACCATCAGAGCGCGCGTCAGGAGAGGTATGAAATCATCTCCTCCATGATAACCGCAAGGATGAAGGATGGTGAACCCATCACCGGTCACTTGCAGAAGATGCAAAGGTTCGTTGACCGGTTGCTGAAGCTAAATGTTGACTTTCCTGAGGAATGGCGATTGACATCATTCTCCATTCCTTACCTCCAAGTTATGATCAGTTTCGTATGACTTATCATATGAACAAGGAGGAAGTCACACTTAGCAAACTTCAAGGACTCTTAAGGACAGCTGAAAATGGCCTTAAGGGTAAAGCGGTTGCTACTTCTACTCCTTCAACAGCCCCTGTTCTGGCTATTGGGCAGGGAAAGGGTAAGAAGAGGAAAAGCCCTTCGAAGGGTACCAAGGGTAAGACTCTTGATGGTTCCTCTTCAAGTGGGACAAAGAAAGGTCCCATTACTCCTTCTTCAAACCCAAAGGAAGCACAGTGCTTCTATTGCCAGGATAAGGGACACTTCAAGCGAAGCTGCCCCAAATATCTGCAAGATCTAAAGGATGGGAAGGTTAAACCCACCCATGCAGGTATTTACACAATATTGTCTAATAACTCATCTAATGCTAATTCTTGGGTGCTTGATACAGGTTGTGGTATTCACATCTGTACTGATTTGCA